AGTTTAATATATAAGCAAATTGTTTCATTTTAAGTGAAGGGGGGAGAGAAAAAAATGCCTATTATTATATTTACTTTTTTAGTATCTTGGGTAAATTGTTTTAAAAACTCCTTTTTAAACTTAATGAGTATACTATTTTTGTTTTATCTAGTAACCATTATCCTGAAAAATGGAGGACAACATATATCAAGTTTATGAAGATGAAATTCGGTTATTAGAAGAAGAAATTCAAATGTTAACTGAAAAGTATGAAGATGGACAACAAGAATCCACATTTTATTCTGATGAGGAGATACTTATGTCAATGTATGGKTCTTACAATACACTGGATTAATATTTCTTTTTGATGTTACTTTGATTAGGTTAGTCTCCTGCTCCTATTTTGTGGCAGTAGGATTTTTGCCTGTATTATTCCTTTAGTGCTTAATATAACACAGAACTTCTTTAGGACAAGAGTTACAGATGCTAACAAAATATAAATAAAAAATAGTTTTACTTTTTTCAGGTACTCATAGTGGTCAGAGCTCAATATGTAATGTACTTATAGTGTGGACTTTGCAAAGCTATGAGCTGCAAAGACCCTGTTTTCCATGATACAGCRTGGAACAACTCGATAATAATTTCTTTATCCTTAAAAAAAAAAAAAGGCAGGGGAGGACTGGGGCATGAGTTGTCATTAGCTCCAGGCTAAGGAATTGCTTATTGGGAAGTGAATTACTGAAAACTGCTTTTGGTCTGAAAACAACATTGTGAAGTCCTTTTATTTTAACTGTATTGTTGYATTGGTATGGTAAGATGTGCATTTATGGGTCTTTTGTCCCTTTGATGTTGTTGTTTTTGATTATAGCAAGTCATCTCAAAGAGAATTTCAAGGAGAGTCAAAGGAACGTGAGTTTCCATCAGATCTGAAAGCTCAACTTGAAACTCTAGAAACAGATCTCTCATTTTTAATGAAATTTACTGGTATTTCGTTCACAAAACATTCCAAGAAAACTGTGGAAAAAAGTAAGCATTTTTCTGCCTGATAGTGATGCAGTACCAAGCATTTTGTTGTTAAATTTGCAGTTCTCTCTTGTAACTTAGCTTTATATACATATGTGTGTGTATATATATATATATATATATAAAGTAATTTTTTTTGATAAAACTTTATCTTGGGTGTAGTGGTTTGCATAGCAACAACCTGAAATGCTACCATGAAACTAGTGGGTTATTTTTTTAATCTGTTCCCCTTAGTTTCATGGTTTATATAGTACTCTGTATCTATTGGAACTTTAACTGTGACTAATAGAAGAAATGCAGTAATCAAGGATTAATTAAACATCTTGTTGCTTTCATTTATAACAGGTGGAAGCAGAACAATACAGAAGCATAGATTAGCAGGAAATTGCCACTCACTACCTTTTCAATTGGAGTTTCAGCTTCTCCAGATAAAGGTAATGATCAATGTATTTTTAAAGAAAAAAAAAGCAAATGAGCAAACTTTCAAATGGATAACTGTTAATATTTCTTTATTCAAGGTTAAAAAGTATTTGTTTGAAATAAGGAATATTACAAAGAAAATTGATTTCTTCCTATTTGTCTTGTGGGAATTGGGAAGAAAATTAAGACACAAAAAGCCTGAACAGCTGTTTGTTTGTTTATTTGTTCTTTGTTTTATTTGTTTGGTTTTTAAAGACTTTGGTTAGCATCTTGCTTGCTTGGTAAGTATGAGCAAACATGCCATAAGAACAGTACTGTAGGGAAGTCAGTACCAATGTCTGCAGACATTTTGCAGAAAAACACTTCTAATTTGGCTTCTTGGCACTCTATCTAGAGTGTTGAACAGTGGAAAACAATTACTCAAAATTATAATTTTGTTTTTGGTTTTCGGCTTTTTGCAGTTCTAGCTTTAAAGGCACATTGCAAAAGGATAATGCTTTGAACTAATACTAGTTAAAACTGCATGTCTRTGGAAAGGTGCCCTTCCTAATCTTAAGCTATTGTGAATTTAGGGAATTGCATTTTAGGAGCTGACATATGGACTGCACAATTCATGACTACAAAAGCTCTGTGTGACTTGAGATTAGTGGTCCTGGTGATACTATTTTAGGATTTGCTTGTATAAAACTTCATTTAACTTTACGTTTGGAAATAACCTCAACCAATCATGGGACTTGGATTATTCTTTATTTTTCACTTAGAATTCTGCMGAATGATGATTGTTTATTCCACTGTAAATTTAACATAGGGGAGTGAAGATTAATAATTTGACATTAGTTTTTTTTAGTAAGACTATCCTGAAATATTCATTCCACTAGATGGCGATACTTATCTACTTAGTGCCTAAAAGTGTAATATTTTAGTGCTGATGAAATAAACCATTTATTTCAAGTATAACATCCCCTCAAACACCCAAACGAACAATTTCAGTGGAAACCTGAATGATTTGAATAGAGTTGTAAAAACCAACCTGTTGTTTTTAGTTTAGTGAGCATAGTGAGAGACTAATGTAGAGTTTATATTCCAGAGTGGACTATTCTTTCGGCAGYTTGAAATGGAAGCAATACAGCTCCTATCTGTGGACACTTGTTTAGAGGCAAGCTTATAAGTCAGAAGAAGTCATTTAATGTAAAAGCTTTGTATGATTTTTATTGTATTTGAGTGTTAAGAGAGGACATATTCAAATAGCTTCAAAATCAACTTCCTGCCCCTGTTGAGTCTCTTGCTCTGAATTTAAATGACTTTTGCAGATGTTACTTACTCAAGTCACTAAATTCTGTAGTGTTTTGGCTTGCTTTTTTCCATCTTTATTGATGGCAATGTTAGCAGTGCTGCCGTCCAACTGGTGCTACGGATTGGTGTGGTGCACTTGGTTTTGACTCAAGCTTGTCTGTTAAGCTTGTTCCCTCACTGTTACTCCTTGTGTTTGCTCATAGTGACAGGGSCTAGAAAAAACAAATGTGACGTATCCAGTAATAAGTAAAACATTCTCTGTGGTCTTCAAGCTGTGGTTTTAAAACTTCATTCACTWTTGCATGATGTAAGTGGTCTGTTGTGTTTGAGAATACATAATAAAAATAATTGAATTCTTTTGTGACTTCATACCTATTCTTTGAACACACTTTTATAGCTTGTTAGTCGTTTTACCTTGGAAATATTTTTACTTTGTCCTACAGATAGTTATTATTCATGGTTCTTATCTTTTTTAATTAGGACAATATTTTTATGCTTATGGAGGAAACTATTATATTTGTTCTGCGTTAAATGACAGCTAGGAGTTGTGTTGGAAAAGGAGAAGAAACCTAGATTAAAGAAGTGAAGGCTACATAAAGTAGATGATCATCCTGTGGATAAGTTTTCCTTTATATTTCTGTATTCTGTGTGGAGTACTTCTAGTATTCCAAAAACCTCCTTCCCTGGATAATACAAATAGAATACCATTAGAATGAAATTAAGTGGTTTAGWTAAACTCTTACTTCAAAGGAAGTTATTTTAAGTCTTTTTTTAAATAGCAGMAGTTGCATATATTTTTATCTGCTTTTTTCCTTTATTGAAGAAATTTAATGTACATTGTAATTTCTCTAATCTAGAACAAAGAGAACGTGTCTGCTGTTATTACTAATCTCAATATTGTAATGGAATCTGGGGAATATTCAGGTGTAAGCAAGTTTGTGTCCAGGTAAGTGTGGGAATTTGGTTGACTTGAGGTTTTTTTTTGTTTGTTTGCCTATTCTTTGTTTTTAAGAAAAGTTATTGTGTGGGTAATCTGATACTAAAGACTATTGAGCTTTTCATACTGAATTATTTTCTTTGCTTAGAGCTGATAACATGTTACTATAAACATTTTCTGTCCCTTGTCTGTACCTTTTGGGAGGGTTATTGAAATGAATGTAACTTTTAAACCTTGAAAGGACTACTATGATTTTGTGTTAAACAGAAACAAGGTTTTTGATGTTTTGATGATCATGTATTCTAGCGGTTCCTTGTTTTCTCTCCTTGTCTCAAAGTCTTTCACAGATGTTTTGAAAACAGTAGGTAATAATATTGATTGAAAAATAATAGGGTAGTATGTRCAGTGGCTTAAGAAAACATACATACTAAAACTCAAGCATGTTACTACATATTTTTGAAATTATTTCCTGGGAGGCGTCAACTTCTTTTGATACACAGGATGGTCAATTATGGTCAACTAATTTCCTTTATCTTTGCTATTCCACTGCAAAATCTACTGGAAAGCTACTCTAAGAATGATTCTATTATTAATTAGTGCTAGGTAGTTGACTTGTAGTTTAATATTGTTCTTTAAATGACTTTTAGGAGAGGGGGAAGGAAGGCAAATGGGGAAGCAGGGAAAAGGTCTATCATGTTACCACTGACTTGACTAGCTTGTACTGAAAGCTGAATCTTTCTTCAAAAAGAGGAAAGGTTTAATATATCCACACAAATCTCTGTTACTAAAGCTAGAGGGGTAACTTGGAATATAATTTGACCAATTACTGAGAAACAGGATTTAGAAGAGAAAATAATCCTGTGGTTTGTAAGTATTTTCTCTCCAAAGTGTTTTGGTGTAAGTTTAAGTTTTCATAAGGGGCACAGGATGATTTAAGGCTGTGATATAACTTAAGAAAGCAATTCTGTGCTCTCTGTAGCAAATATTTGCATGAACCATATATTATCTTTGCATCAACATACATACTTGTGAAATTATAAGGCTAGTAGAATCTCCCTAGTCATTTCATTGAAAAAGTGATTTGCCAACCCTTTTTCTCCACCTGAATACCTTCAGTCAGTTGGATAGGTCTTCTGGATTTGATTTGTCTTGCAACTTTGAGATGTAGTGCAGATCTAAGTCATAAACTGTGTGGCCAGGGTGGGGATGATGTTGGCAGTGTCTGTTTTGACAACAGCCGCCTGCTAGATAGGCTCAATCTGACTACAAGATCTCTCTATTTTATCTCAGTCCACTAAGTTAGCTAGTTCCAATTTCTTACTTGAAGGCACAGTACCCTCATTTTCAAGTCCAGTTTCAGTCTTTGCCCAGCTAGGCTTTTTGTTCCACAAGTTATTTAGAATCTTGGTTCCCAACACTTCCCTTCCTCACTCCCTCTCCATTCTGTGGCTAACTGAATCTACTCTGCTTCTACTTTGGTCTYTTCAGCCTCCCCATTCTTCTGACCTGGTCAGTTTGTTTCCTTCTGTCAATTCCCTGTTCATTTTCTTTTGCCTCATGGCCCAGCCTTGCGAAATCCATTGTCTTGTTCTCTTTGGTTTTCTCTGGTGGCCTGATTTCTTCCCCCTTGCTCCTTCTCAGCAGTTTAAATTTCCATAGGGGCACTTTAATAGCACAAGAGTTGAAAACTTGGCAAACAACTGTAATTCCAAAGCTCATGCTGCTTTGGAAGAGTATAGTAATTTTAGAACAGTCGAAAAACGCATTATTAAAGGCAACAAATGAGTTGTTTTTTAAACAGGTACTGCTGTGATATATTTTAAAAGGACATGCAGTTCTTCAAACTGATAATAAAATGTTACAAACTGATAATAAAATGTTACACAAATGGAATCACAATATTTGTTCCTATTTTTAGACTGTACTTGAATCCCCTTTGCATCATTATCACTGGTGGTGTATTTCTACCTTTGAGTACTGCTGTAAAAATCCTGTTGGYAACCTTTGTTTTAAATTTGAATTCATGTTACTTGATTGGGATAGCTAACTATTACATAATTATGTTATCAAATAGGTGTTTTGGGGGAATTTTGAGAACTGTTCCTACTTGTTACTGCTTAAATTTTAAGTAGTAATTTAAGTGAGAGTGAAAGACTTGTGAAATGTTTGCTTTGTATTAATCATTYGGTGGGTTAAATAGCTTGGAAGTGATGGGAACATGCACAGCTGTAAGAATCATTCATTAGTTTTAAGTCCTAGTGTAAGAGGTCTGTATTACTGCACTGAGTTAAGATGTATTTCCTCTCTTAAAATAGCAAAAGGAGCATATTCCTTTTACAATAGATAGTGTGAGTTTTCTGTTTTTCTCCCTTGCTCTATTTTTTTCTTCATACTTTCTGTATTGTGCTGCTGCTGCAAATGCTTTGTAAAACTGAAATGACATAATGGCATTTGCGTAGGAGCATGTGATTTTTAACCTGATGCATATCCACAGAAGTTTTTTTTGCTGTTTTTGGATAACTCCCCTGTTAAATGGATGTTAGCTTTGGAAATCAGTATTTTCCACTCCTAGTGGATTTTTTTTCCATTTACACTCCAGTGACATTTTGTAACGTTGAATTCTTTCCAAAAACAGGCTCAAGAGGCTTAAGGCTTAACATGTATATGCCTTCAGCTTTTAAAAATAATAATAGTACTGTTGTGGAATTAGGCCCATTTTGACTAAATAAGAATTTACCTAGTCTAAACCCAATACTGTTAATCTAGGAGAAACTTCCATTATAAGAGAGACTTTTTTGAAGTGATGCTTTTATGCTGCCTTTTGCAGTGGTAACTGATTCCCTTAACTTTTTATCCAAAATACTCTTTGTTTAGTGATCTAGTCATAAAAATTGCACTCTGCCTTATTGCCTAAATGAAAGACAAAAGGAGAAATAAAAGTAAAGGGAAACAGTGCTAAAATAGTAGGTGACTAACAATTAAAACTGACAATTCCTTAAGATACCTCTCCTTATCCTCTAGTCTGTGTTCTTCTTGAAAATTGTATAGAAGTGGAGCCTCATCAAAACTGGCACTTTTTTCTTTAAGTATGTAGCTCCATAATAATTTTGTATTGCCCTCTTTCACAGATCTAGATGTTAAAGGGCATATTGCAGTATGTTTAGAATCATGTTCATGACCCATTACTATGGCTGGGTTATTTACTATACTATGCATGGCTTTTTTATTTCTTTTAATATGCCCAGTTACTAACGATTAAGAAAMGCTGATCTTAACATAAGGTTAGTCAACTATTGTAAATCAGCATGTGTCTACTTCATTCCAGGCACTTGGTTTTAACTGTGCTGCCAGCATGTATTTTGTCTTGGCCTCTTTTGCTGGAAGTTGTGACTAACTTTGGTAAATCTTCCTATTTTCAAAGCACTCTTTTGTCAGGTGTCTTTTGACAATGGCTAATGGTYCTTCATCTGTCTGGCTTCATATCAACAATGACACGAAGCTTTGTTACTCTTGTGATTAAAGAATCTTCAGGTGTCCTGATACTCCATTTCTCATAGTTGTTTTCTTGACATTTGTGCRTTTTGGCATACTTAGCCACCATAACTCTTCTTAGTACATCCTGTGCAAGTGTTCCTACTCCCTTCCATTCACAGTCTTGGATAGATGATTTGTTATCTAGCAAATTCTTTCCTATATTCTCTTATTTCCCTTCACTGTCCTAATCTCACACACAATGTCATACATCATTAGGTTTTTGAAGAACAGTGTTTTGTTCTTTTTTTAGGGGAACTGGTAGGGGAGTGTTTCTATTGTTTTSTCTAATATGTTCTTAATTAATGATCTCTTCTAACTCATTTTCCTCCTTCAATTAATTATATATGTATATACATAATATTAATTAGAGTCTTTAGGGGGGAATGCAAATTTAAGGCTTCATAATTGATACTTTTGATTAGTACTGCTTGAGATAAAAGACATTTTTATTCTGCAGCATTGAAGAACGCGGAAATCTTTTGCCATTCTTCAAAAGCCTTTCATCATATGCTGAGTGGTGTGAACATCGTAGATGCACCTTCCTGCATTTCAAGGTAGTGTCTATCAATCCTTTAAGGAGTTCATTGGGAAGAGCAAAATTAAGTCGCGAACAAAGATAAAWGTAGTATTCTTCAGAGGAGTAGTATAATCTCTTTAAGTAGTAYGGTAAGATTGATTTTTATCATGTTATTGCTCATGTTCCTGGCGGGATGAGAGAAATGAATATATGGGACTTTTATGTGGAGGAGGGAGACGGTGTTTTATTGGAATTATCTTTCACTAGAATGAAAATAGAAGATAATTTGAATAAAAAGAGCAAAAGAAAAAATCAAAAGAAAACAGTGTTTATAGTCTTTGGTATTTAAATATTAGTTTKGATGGGCTAGATCTGATTGTCTGAAAAGTGTGACAGCTTGTTTTGGGGAGACTGCACTTAGAGTTCTGAAATACTTTACTTGAATGGGAGGATAAACTATTCCTTACGTTCAACTGGAAAATAATAATGACATTTATTTTAAATTACCATTATCGGTCATTTGTTTTGTGTTTGTGCTGTTTTTAAAGTATTCCTCAGCTACAAGTACTGTAGTCYTAACACAGAACATGATATGATGAATGTGTCATTACTGTGAGACAAGACTTTGCAAACGGACATTTGTCACAAATTAGTTGATGTAATTTGCTCCTACATCTGAATTCTGCCTGATCCACTTACACTTTATTGTTTTAAGTATTTTTTGAGATATTGTGAATACATAGTAACACCTGACCAATTTCAAAGACAGAATTGTCTTTGAAATTGATGTACTCTAGACAACAAATCTTAACTTATTTGTGGTTTTGTATTTGATTTTTTTAAGGAAAATAAATAACAGTAGTATTCAATCACTGCGATAAGTTTAGGAGTCTCAACTCTTGCAAGTCTAGTAAAAATAGTAAATAGTAGTAAAATACTGTATGTAATGGTGAAAAGTTCCRTTTTCTTGACTGGGGCATGTTAGAAGTATTTTTAGATGTTTCTATAGTCTATAAGCTTGATAATACTTTGAGTAAATAGCAAGTTTTTCCTCTTTTATCAAAACTTCCAATTGCACACGCAAAAGTTGTGCTAAGTATCTTAGCAGTATTGTTCAATAGCTCCAGAACATCAACTGTAATAATAATCATGATGGTAATTTTTTACTAACCCCCTTAACCATGCTAAATCAAATGTGCAGTATGTTACTTTTAACATATTTAATAATCTTTTCTTGTAATACACWTCTGTGTAAACACACCAAACCTATTGAAGTGATTTCTAGCTTGTCTGTTATATGCATGGCATGATGCTCATCTTTTCTTGTCATTTGTCTTTTGTAACTGCAACATAACAGGATGTCATTGACTTCCTTCAGAATACTGTTCTCTTCTCAATGTTCTGTATTTCTGTCTATAGTCAAAATGAGGTACGATGCACACATTTGTTGTCAAAGGTAGATCTGTCCTGTGAAGCTACTTTGAGAGCTGTAGAGTCAAGAGTAACCCTGCAAATACCATCAAACTGCACTATCTTTGCTTTTCAGTAGAAATAGCAAGTTGAAAACTGCTTTTTCTGTGCTAGTTAAATCTGGTTGATTAGTTTATAACAGAAATTTAAAAAGTGGTGTGATTTTTCATGACAAAGATATATGAAGAAATGCACTTGGAAGATTCATTGAATATTCAGAGTTTCTCAGCAATATGTTTTCTGAAGTTGCTTATCTTTATGGAAAAAGATAGTATTGAGGAAGGCAGGCCAGTTAGGGACAGTATTTCATATATAATTGAGTGTGAGTCTGTGAAGAATTTTTTATACTTATTTGTRGCAGCCTCGGTAATAGTTTCATATACAAATAAGAGACTTCTTGAGGGGAAAGAGTTAGCAAAGAATTCAAAGATCAAATCTGATCTTTGTGTTAAAGTGACTAGCAGAGTACTTTTAATATTTGTTTTAAAGCAGAAGAACAATCTTATCTTGTAATTTTTTTTAAAGAATGCARGCTTTATGTAGTATTGTTGCCGGTTGAAGTAACTATGGGTAGAACGAAGTTGACTTGGAAGCGTTGTATGCACTATATAATATACTTTTCGATGCTATGCTTTTGACAGTTGTGTTTATTGTGGCTCCCTTCCAGTGCAGCTTCTCTGATAGTGCTTTAAATGGATTTAGGATGTCCCAGAAGGCAAAACTTTATGGTTTTTGTATTTTAGGTATCTGATACTTGCATAACATTAATTGTATGGCAAGGTTTTGATGGTGATGATTGTGGCAATGCAGTAATCTGTGCAAAATGGATTTACAACTACAAATATAGTGTGAACTAGACATGCCTTTTTGTCTCCTCTGAAACTCAATAGATAAGTATGTTTGCATTGCAGTGAGAGCAGATTGTTGAAGCTGATGCTGATAAACAAGAAAAATAACAAATTTTATTGGSAATACAGAACAGAAAAAAGTGATAGAAAAAAAAACAGGATAATGTACATTCAGCTTGATAAAAGTATTGGTCACAAAGATAGAAGGCAAAAATTCCTGCATACTGAAGCACTCTTCGAATGTTTTGCTGAGTTGATTAGCTAGAAATTGGGGAAAGCAAATTAAACCATATCAGCTAATTTACTGCCTTCACAAGAATCTCAGAAGATACCACTTGTCCACTTCTGTTAGTTTTTAATGGAAGTATTAACTCTTTTGTGGTGGTAGCTAAATTTTAAAATATCTTTGTGTGTGTATCTTACATAAATGTGCAAATGTTTGTACACTTCCATAAAGATGCATTAATATGTACTATTTTCMTATAGAGTTAATAGGAAGACTTATGATATTTACCAATTTCATTAATTTTGAAAACAGTTTTATTTAGCAAACTATTTGAGATGAGAACAAGATCAGAGACCACTACTTATGTAATGTTATGACACTTAAATTTTTAATTTTATTAGCTTTGTCTTAGGCTTTTTCTGCAAATAGATACAAATGAATTGGGTGGTGGTTGTTGTTTTCCCTGCAGGAGGTTTGTTTCAAAGTTGGAATGTGTTTTTACATGCTTTGGGGCTGTTTTTTATCTTGTGATTAAGAAGCTGAAAACATCAGTGTGTTATGACTCTACATGAGAAAGCAAAAATCAAATTCTCATGGTAGAACTAGGATTTGTTGTTAYCTGATACATTAAGACATTGGGATTTCTTGTTATATCAAACAATTTAAAACAGAGAAATATAAGGAAAGACCCGGATTTATTAATCAAGTTATGAGGCTGGGGCAAAATATTTTTCTTGTTTTTTGTAACTGTATCCTTTTTAAAAAAGATGACCCCACAATTCATATAGTCACTTAAGCTTGTTTCTCAATGTTTCTAATGACCGAGCATTGGTATGCTCAGAATTAAATGTGCCCTTGATGATAATTCCTCATAGTACAAGTACTAAGAAATCAAGGCATAACTAAGATAAAAACAATTAATACAACATATCTTATAAGTATTCTAGGTGCATAATGATGTATTATCATGCATTTGATGCTTACTATTCCTACAAATTAGACATCCATAGTAGTTTCATAGATAGTATGGAGTTGATCTGGTAATAACTAGCATGTTTTTGTCATTCCTTTTTCTGAAGAACTTTAAGCCTATGCTTGGTATTTTGAGGATTCTTCCTATTCTTCCTTCTTGGAGGAAGAAACTGAGAGTTATATTCAGCAGAAATGTACAGCTGTCATCAGAAACAGCATCTTTTGTATCACAATCATTTCTGTTTCTTTGCAAGGAGCTGTGGCTGAAATCTTTATAGTTCACAAATATAATAATTCAGCTTTGCTGTTAATTACATTCTGTCACTTTTCATTATTAAGATAAAGCAGTTAACTGATGTTTAGGCTCTATCATGTGTTACAGCAAAGGTACCCAGAGACAGACTACACTGTCCCTTCAAATGGGGAGCTGAAGAATGAACTGAGAGAATGACTCCTATGAGTAGAGCTGAGGAAGAATGTAGAGGAGGAGTGTGTATGGTTGTATAAACGAATGAGTGTGTGTGCATATGAATATATACATACACATGAATTCTATGATTCTGTGAGGAATATGTGCCTACTTTTAATATATACATATATTCCATATAGTCATACCTACTTGACAGGAAATGAGTGTGTTTTTAAAGGAAATTATTTAAAACTCTGCTTCCTATGTTGCTTAATACCCTAAGTCTATAAATTACTTTTGCTCATTTAAGGCATACTTCAAAACATCTCTGAAAAGTTCTATTTCTAAACATAATGTTGTTTGCAATGTAACTTTAATTACTACACTTATGAAACTCATGTAAATGCTTCATTTCAGAACAAGCAAATGTTTGGTTGAACATCAGATTTGTTTTTTTTAATAGTCAGCTGCTAAAAATCTTTGGGGTTTATCTGAAAGTAAAATGTAGTGACTGCATGACTTTACATGTAAAGATTGTGGTGAAATAGAAATTGAGATGATGTGTTTACATATATTTTAGCATTGTCATTAACAGAAAAGATTCTGAAAACATGGGTGTCATTGTAGCTAGTAAGAACGGCTGTTTGTTATTTCAGAGCAGAATACAATTTAACGTAGTAAAAGATTCTGGGTATGCAGAGACACTGCAGTAGCAAGGGAGAGGATATAAACATGTAAACAAAAAAACCATCATCATTACACAGGCAGTAGCTAGTAGTATGATCCTACAGGCAGTGTTCTCAAGCAGGAAAAAGCATTAACATGCTTTGCCAAGAGAATTGGATTTCCTTCCATTCTTATCTCATCCATACTTGTGCGGATATAACGCGTGTTGTTAGATTTGCAGAATGTGTCATCATTGATTGTAGTGATATTGTTGTACTGCAAAACAAAATGAAGTTTGATTATTCATTGAAAAAAATCAAGCTTTTTTATTCTTTTTAACTTCACATTTTGTTGTGATTGAGATTGACTTATATGTCTGTAGAACATACACATAGGAACTGTATATTACCCAATCTATGAGCAGATAAATGATTTGACATTGTACT